AAATTGTTGTCTCAACTACGATCTACTGTTAGTCAGTTTGGAGTTAAAAGTGAGCCAGTTAAACAGATGCTAGATTATATTTTTGATGCTAGCCTCCTTCTAGCATCCTCCTTCTGATTAATGATTGCCGTGGATTAGCTAAATTGATTTTTACTCAACATCAGCAATTGTTATTTAATGCTCATTGGCAAGCACTAGTTAACGAGTGTGTGGCAGTTCAGAGGCAGCCAGGTGACCCTCTCCATGGCATCACTGTTAATGAGCTTATGGGCCTGGGACCATTTCTTCATACCGAGGCACAAGCTCTATTAGGCCAGGAGAAGTGCCGGGAGGCTATGAGGTTAGTTAGACTCACTATGGAAAGGGTAAAAGAACCAGGAGGGGTACCTGTGTATATGGGAATCAAACAAGGCAGAGAAGAATCGTTTGGCTCATTTATTGATAAAGCTGGTGCTGCAATTGAAAGGGCTGGTGTACCAGAATATATGAGAGGGGCGCTACTCAAACAGTGTGCCCTTCAAAACTGTAATTCTGCTACTAGGAGCGTACTTAATACCCTAGGTGCCAATTGGACTATAGAAGAGGCATTAGAGAGGATGGCCTTAATACCTACCGGACAGCAGGCTTTTGTGGTAGATGCGATCAAACAGTTAGGAATAGGCTTACAAGAACAGGCAAAGTCCTCTCAGAGCCAGGTGTTAGCTGCTCTTGCACCGCTTCAAGCGTCAGCTGCACTGGCACCAACAAGTAGAGGGAACTGCATGAAATTTTATCGATGCGGAGGCATGGGTCACAAGCGCCGGGAATGCCAGGCTGCAGGACTCTGGTGCCAAAAATGCCACTTGGACACTCATAATACGGGCGCTTGCAGACGGAAATCGGGAAACTTCCCCTGGAGCGCAAACCGCAGTGGCCGTGCCCAGACACAAGTCGCCGCTGCAGCAGTAACAGCGCCCCCTCCTGCCTCCAACCCGCCACAACAGGGAGCCTCGGCATGGATCTGGCAGCCGCAGTAGATGTCACGTTGATGACTCCACACCCGCAAAAAATCCCGACAGGGATCCAAGGATCTATTATCATACATGATAAAGCGGTGGGTGCTTTGCTCTTTGGAAGATCATCTGCATCTCTGTTGGGATTATTTGTTTTGCCTGGCGTCATTGATGCGGACTACAAGGGAGAGATTATGGTGATGGTATACACCCCTTTTCCCCCACTTCAAATTAATAAGGGACAAAGAATTGCTCAGTTGGTACCGCTTGAACAAATGACTAAGGGAATACAACCCATAAAAGGTCAAGAGAGGGGGGAAAGTGTGGCCAATGATGAACTCAGGTTTTGTAATATGTATAAGCTTAATTAACACCACTATAAAAGTGTGTAAGTGGGATCAATAAATCGGAGTTCGATGCTCATCAATCAGATGGTCGTCTCCCTTCACTTCGTCACAGGGTCATGCTGTGAAGTGACATCTTTCAAGGGCTTTTTGTTCATTGCAAATGAGGCTGATGGTCCCAGGCCACTTCAAAGAGGCCATCCAAAGATGATGTGTGGTCATGACTGTGGGTGCAAAGCCAAAGAAGGACAAATTCAGGGCTATGGAACAGAATCATCCCCAGTCCTGATTCAGAAGTTCCCTTTTCCCTGGGTGGAGCTGGCTAGATGTCAGAGATGTCACTCTGCTGTTCTTGCCCTAGATCCTGGTGTAAGTGCTCCCCACAGATACCCACACACAGCTCCTGCACCTCAGACAAGAGCAGAGCCTGTCCTGGCTGTGGCTGCTGCCCACTGCTCCAAAGAGTCTCCCTATCACTCTCCTAATCCCTATTAGTGAATCTTGTACATTCACTAATGATAAATGCATTTTGCCAACCAGTTTCTCCAACACTCAGAGCCAGATTGGATCTAGCACGGGTACACTGAGTCCTTGCAATACCTCTTCCCGTGGTCTTCACGTGTCATTAAAAGGCACTGGGCTCTCACTGCTGCCTTCTCTATGCATAGAAGCCTTGGTTTTGGAACCACACCAAGTGCTGGTTGAAATTTCTACAACAGGTGAGCAGCAAATACATGGAATCACAAGATAATTCATATTGGAAGATAGATAAGAAATATTCTTGTCCAACCTCCTTCTTGCAGAACTTAGCTGTGAGATCAGATCAGGTTACCTAAGGCTTTTCCCAGTTTAGTTTTTCCAGTTTAGTTTTCAAAACCTTCAAGTATGGAGACAGCACCACCTTATGACAAAAAGCTTTATACTCATACCTCATTATATCCACCTGTCTTATTTCAACACCCCTCTGGTCTCTCATCCTCACATTATGCATTATGCAAACAGTTTGACTCCTGCTTGCTGAGCTCCTCACTGTGCTCCCACATGAGAGCCCATGGAGAGCTCTGCTCAGAGCAGGCACCTCTTCTCACTTTCTCTGCCACCCAAGTCTGTTTGGAAGTGGCTGTCTGTGCCACAAAAGGTGGTCAGGACATCTGACACCTCAAAGTAGGGATAAAGATGAAGTTTCTGAGCCTCCCAATGCAGGGACAATGAGGCACTGGCTTTAATGACATGATCACACCTCTTACTTTTATTTTAGCTGCCACGTTAGGCCCCGAGGGCAGTGAATGAAAACAGGACTAGTCTTCCTAAATACAATATAAACTTTCTTTTCTTCAGAAAAGACAAGATGCCAGAAGTGACACCAAAGAAAGTGACAAGTGCAAGGAGAGGATCTGGCAAAGAACAAAGAATAGCACGGAGCTTGCTGCAAAACACCAGGATCCAGGCAGTGTTTGGAATGCAGGAAGGCTGGACAGGAGTTGGGAGAGAGGCTGGACAGGGCTCCACTGCAGTGTGCCTGAGGCCTAGGTGGTGAATTTCATCACATCTATAGGCAGTTAAGTCACTTCAGGAGTTGTTTCCTATAATCCTTCTATTAGGATTATTCTTTTACTACTACTCTGTAGTCATCCAGAAGACTACAGAATCCAGGAAGAGAAGGGTATACCAGCCAAAGACCCACTGTATAAAGAGAAGAGGAGGGTTGAACAAGCTGCTGAAGTTATGACTCCTATCTGTGATTATCTCAAAGCCTTCCCTAAAGGTTCATGAGATAATAAACTAAAACTGGGGAAGATTTAACCAATTGGCAGTTTCAAAAGCCAGTGGCATTCACTGCCAGCCACCCCATGAAAGGACTTGCATGTGAAAGGTACTGGTTTGAATGGCAAATAAGTTTTCACTTGGGAAGTATAAAATGGTCAGGCTCTAGAATAAACCATTTCTGCAGCTAAGGCCAGGTTAAATTATACAAGCTGTATTTTCTGTATTATTCAAAATAGCTCTAATGTCTAAAAGATTTTGCTTACTGCATGTCTACTCAGGGAAAAGTCTCCTAAAATGGAAAGGAACTAAATTCTTCCAAAGGCACTTTTTTTCCATCAGAAATTATACATTATCAATGAAAGCTTTCTATATGGATGCAATAATTTTGTTGAGATGTCATTTTTAAAATTGGAAAATAGGAATATTACAACACTCTCATTTTACCTGGATAGCTTAGGAGTTGGATGATGCTTCATCTTGTAATTTCTTGCATAAATTCTAATTTTCAGAATTTATAGCATAAAAATAAAATTTAAGTAAATGTAAAAAATTAACTACACCAAAAAAAGTCTGTTTTATGTACATTTTGTATGAAATCTTTTTACACTAGCAGACCATATGTCAGTAGGAAAATCTTTGAAGCTTGCTGGCAGCCTGATATCATGTAACTCAAACACTGAACCAGCTTTCACTTGAAGGACTCTGGCTTTTGGGTCTGCAGGCTGCCATGCTGGAAGGCAGGCAGCCACCCTCTCTCTGTGGAGCCTTGAGCAGGATGTCACCCTTTGACAGGTGAGGTGAAAGACGCTTCATGGGGATCCCTGTTGTAAGGGTTCGCCCATGAATTAATGTACCTTCTCCCTTCAAGTACGATGCTTTCTTTTAAAGCCCCAAATGAAACATGAGAATTTCATAATTCAAAAGACTTATACAGCCTCCAGGGCACAGCTGGCCTCTGGGCCCAGAGAACAGGCCCAGCCTTGGCTGCTGCAGCCCCATCATGGGACCCCCAGCTCTGGAGGGAGCTGGCAAGAGGAGGAAGCCAAAGCAGACCTAGAGGGCTCCGTGTCTGCAGGCCTGCTGCCCTGACAGAGCTGTCACAGCGGCAGGATGGCTTTTCACCAACACCTCTCAGTTCTCAAGGCCTCTCCTCTTCTCTGGAGATGATGATAACTCAGCTCAGGAGGTCTCTTGCTGGGTCACATCAGAGGACAGACTGACAGCACAGATGACAGCAGGGCTTGCAGTGCAGCCTCCCAGCTCGATCTGTTGCACTGGTGGGGCAGTCACTCTCTCCCTCTCCACACTTGGGAGGCCCAAGTGCCCTTGGAGATCAATCCCTGCCACCCTAAGGCCATAGTTCTGCCCAGGAAATTCTCTTCCTCATACACAGTCTTTAATTACAGCCATGTGCAGGACCCTGCTCCTTGCAACTTCATTTTAGTGCTTTGGGATGGGCATTTTTATTCTGAGTCTCTGCAGCTGTGAACCCAAAGACAACTAAGGAAACTGAAGCCAGATTCTTAAGACTCAATGTGCAAAAGTTTGTCATCACATACCTGAATCCATAAATCCAGAACAGTCTCCCGCCCTCTGTGGTGCTCTTCAGCCTTGACTAAAGATAATTTTAGCCATAATTAACCTGTGAAACTTGCTTATTTCAGGCTAAAATGGTACTGTATATTAAATATGGCTTGACAGCAATTGCTGTTTGGGTTTTTGGCTCTGTCTACAGCACTATGGGCTTATAACCCTGCTGAAGATTCCCTTGACACCCATTTGATTATTTAAATCCTATGATATTTTCTAACAATGAGGCAGTGATTTTCCAGCTGTTCAAAGAACAGAGAGACATAGAGGTTAAAGGTCAGAACAGCCCTTTACTAAGCATCAACCCTAAGGAGTTTATATGTCATAACAATACCAATCACCATTTTCAATAATGACCTGCACCCTTTGTGTAGACAAAGTTTGCACTGGCTTTTGCTTCAAGTTCATTTGTCAAGTAGAAAAGAAAAGGTAAAATTACAAAGGAATAATTTTTTTTAAATGTCACAGGCCAAAGTTGATGCAATTTAACTCCCTTCAGCTGTAAAGTATACATCTTCCACTCTTACACCCATGTATCAAATCTTCGCACAGAGACACAGCCATGAATAGGAACGGGGCAAGGGAGTTTGTTATCTATGACCTGGCACACATCAGTGTAGGGATCAAAGAGGACTGCAATGGGGAGGGTGCTGTTTCCCTTCCTCTGTCCAAGAAGATAAATTTGTCCATTCACGGTGCTGCATCCCATGAAGAACTTCTGGGTCAAGCATTCCTCATTCACCTGGGTCCATTCATCTGTCTCCACATCAAATCGAAAAGCTTCCCCTCCTACAGTGTACAGAGCCCCATTCAGGGATGTGATGCAGAGGTCATACCTGAGAGAGAAGAAACCCTTGATCAGAATCAACAGAAAGATTTGGCCCCAGAAATATTCAGGGTAACCTTGGTCCTCAGATCAGAAGTCCTATTTAAACAGAGAATCACAGAAGTGTTGCAGGGACAGAACTTATGGATTTCTACACTATAACCTCTTCCTGGAGCCAGATCAACACTAGAATCCTTCATCTTCTGCCAGGTCCCAGAATATTATTTCTTACCTTGGAAGAGGGGAGAACGAGATGACATCCCAGCTATCTGTCTCTGTGTTCAGCCTTTGCACTCCGTCATACACGTGTCCATTCTCATCCAGGCCACAGACCACATAGATCCTGGTTCCCACACTGGTGGCATCGCCTCTCTCCACAGGCTGAGCCATAGGACTCATGCTTTCCCACTCTGACTCCATCAGAGCCATGCGCTCCACTGCTGGGATTATCCCTTCATCCGTGCTCCCTCCGAGCACATACAAGTGGAGCCCTACTCCTACTGCACAGTGGCTGTTGCGGGACTTCTTCATGGCTGGCCCTTCCAGCCAGCAATTGTCCAAGCAGTTGTAGATGAGCACCCAATCCACACTGTACCACACAAATTCATCCCGGAAATATCCTCCTGTCACAAAAAGGAAGCTCCCTGGAAGCACAGCAAAGAAAATACTAGTCATGTAAAGGCTAAAAATTGCTCCTGATACCTGGGGTTTTCATTTCACATTGGACTATTTTGATAAGGTGCAAGATGAGGAGAGAAAATCACTGCTCTATCAGTTTGCAGAATTTAATTCATTGGGCCTACGGAATGCAGCCTGTCTTTCCAAGCCTGCTCCTTTTTTTTAACAGAATCATGGAAACTCTGGTTGGAAAGAACCTCCGAGATCTTACTTCTAAACTCCTACCAGAAATGGGACGATTACCAACACTAATAGAGGAAGCCATCGTATTGAGCTGGCTTGAAAGTCTGCAAGCATGAAGATTTCCCAACATTTGTAGATAAGTTTAATGTAATGGCAACTATAAATCAGAAGTCACCTGTCATATGTCTAAATCACTACAAAAGAGAAGGCCAAAAAATACACTTGGCTTTAAAGCCAAGTCCTTAGACTAATTCCAGATAAAGTCAAGGTAAGGAGCTTGGGAGGCTGCAGAGTTTCTGCTATAGGAGAATAGTGTTGTCTAGCACTCTCCCAGGACCAAGGAAGAAAAAAGCATTCTTTGAGCAAATATGAACACCAATATGAATGAGATTTTAGCAATGCAGAGCACAACAGTTTTACAGCAACAGTTGGACACCCTACATTTGGGACTCAGTCTCAACTTCTGTTTGCATCAGCTCAGTCTCCCTCGTCTGTAAGTTACCTACTGCTGCCACTGCATACTGGGTGAGGTTCTTGCGCTGCAGGGGAGAACAAGCCTGCCAGGTCCCTGTTTTAGGTTGGAAGAGAAATAATTCTTGCTGTTCCTTGTCATGCTTTCCTCCCAGGACATATAAGGTGTCATAGCTCCGGCCAGCATAAGGACACAGTTTCGGATTTTGCCAGCTGGGTGGGGGACAGCTGTCTAACTTCTTTATTAGTCTGGAAAAGATATCTGTCTCTCCAGCACGCTTGCTGCGTTTCACCAAGATATCGAGGAAGGACAAACTCAGAAAAGCGACCCTGACTTCGCCCACCAAATCCAGAAATTCTTCCTCTCTTGTTGCTGGGTCCTCCATTATCCAAATCATAATACTGTCAAAAACCACATCCTCTCTTGAAATGAAGAGGTCATCACTCTTCAGGAGCTGCACCAGCATTTCCTTGGGTAATGCCTTAAATTCTTCCTGGCATATCACATCCCCCCAGTGAGTGAGAGCCACATTCATAGCAGACACATATAACTCTGTAAAGGCAAATTGCTGTGAGTAGGTCATCAAGCCCAGGCAGTTTGAAACATGCAGTTCTCTCTCCAGAAATTTCTCACACAACAGTTTCACCCTGTCAAACTGAAAAAAATCAGCTGTTTCCAGTAAGCTGGTCACATTTTCTTGACCTATGAGCACTTGGGCCGTGCGAGTGAACTCAAGTAGTGCCTGAAATGGCACTGCATCGATCCCTTTGATCACTATGTGCTGTTCAGAGCTCTCTCTTGCTCCTCCAAAAAACATCGCTTCAAAATATCGACTGTGTACTGAAAGCACCCTACGGCTGACCTGGAAGAGTCTCTCTCCAACCTCAAGAATTGTGTCTGCAATCATTTCTGTCTGAGGTCCCAGCTCCTGTGGCTCTTGTGCAGGCTCCATGCTTGTATACTGCCAGGCAGTTAATTTTAACTCAGTCTTATGCAGTCCTTTCTATCTCTGGAAACACTATCCCCCTAGCTAGGATAAGTATGAGATAAACCAATCTTGTCCTAAAAATAGCATGTTTTCTACTCTCCTGCTTTGTTCTTCTGTCTTTTCTGCTGCTTTCTGAACAGCATTAGCAGACCAGCTGTATAACCTAAAAATTACAGATTTGACTGGCATCTACTTTTACCAGGTAAGGCCACAGCAAATAAGGGGAGCTGTTAGCCAAGCAAAGAGCCTAGGCTAAAAAGAAAAAAACTGGAGAAACAACCAAAAGATTCCTAAGCAGTGAGTAAATATAAAGAAGTTGAAAAAAACATTGAACCCATTTGGAAAAAAAACAACCATTATCTCCTCTTTCATTAGTTCAAGTTTAACCAAATACCAATGTGATTACAGTTTTTATTAGATATCTAACTATATTTTAGTAAGAGAAGAAGGAGTGAGCCCTCATTCAAACCCAGGTGGCTTCACATGTTCAGTCATCCTCCATCTGAAAGCACTAAATAAACACAGATGTAGGACAAGCAACAGCTAATGCCACAGTAAATTTTCCCAAAACTATTGCATGAAGAGACTTGGATAGTCACCTTGAAGTAGAGTCCCTTACCCAAAGAGCCCATACCAGCAAGACTCACTCCCAGTTCTTGGCAGACCTCAGCAAACAGAAGCCTTGCCAGTGTCTCACCATGCCATCATAAAAACTTTCTTCCTTCTTTCTAGTCTGGATCAACCTTCTTCTAGCTTAAACCATTACCCCTTGTCATGGTTTGAGCCTGGCACAGAGCCAGTGCCCCCTATGAAAATTCCTCACCCTGGTGTCTGCTGTGAGATGTGACTAGGAATAAGCAAAACAGGCTCCAACTTAAACATAAAAAACACTTTATTACTTAAACTACAGGGAAATAGGGAAAGACTATAAGGAAAAGAAAAAAAAAAAAGAAATTGAAAACTTTACAAAAAACTTTCCTCCTCCCCACTCCCTGACTTTCCCAATCTGATACATTCTCTCAAATCAACTGCCCAGCCTTGGCCCCACACTTTAGTATACTCAAACTGCAGTTCATGAAGAGGAAAGGAGTCTTTCTTGTTCCATAGGCTTCTCCTGGAAACACACTGAAACCTCGTGTGCTTCTTTGTCACTTCGGCACCGCCCGGAAAAAGTCCTTTTGCCGCTTGTGACATCTTCTTTCCATGCCCAGTGCTCTCACCACTGAGACATGGCCAGAGCTGCTTTTAGGGTTGTCTTTCAAGGATGCCTTGTCTCACTCCAAAAAGGCACAGTCTCTGCTTTGGGACATCTGTCCCCCCCATATTTTTCTAACCCCCTGGGGCCGGGGGGTCTTCACGAATGAACCCTCCTGGTTTTGAGGCACTGCCTCCCCCTAAATGCAGTCTCTGTGTCACAGGAACAACTGAGTCCATGGCCACAAGAAAAGTCTAGCCAAAAGGCCACTCCAAATCATCTCTCCCCATCTAATCATCTCCACGTTCTTCGGGCCAGGTCCTTGTCTCATCTCATCTCTTATCTCCCTTCTTATTCAGCTTCGAGGAGGATTAGCATTTTTGCAAGGCCCCAATCATGAAAGAAAGGGTTAAAAGTTTTCAGTCTCTGTCTATCTCAGAACGAGATACTCCTACAGGTGCTGCTGCTGCTGCGGCCGGCCGGGCTGCGCCCTTCCCCCCCTTTCTCCTCCTGGGCCGGCTGCTATCACCGCCGACTCTCCCTCTCTCTCCCTCCTGGGGGGGGGAATGGCTACCCAATGTCTCTTGGGGCTCCGCCACCCTTCCATCCTTGAGAGCTTTCTCACCCCCATCTCTGTCCAGGCCCCAGGCCTACCGCATGGCCGCCCCTCCCCCGCCCAGCAGCAAGGCTGGGCTGGACGGGGGAGAGATCTGACCTCTTTGCCGCGACATCCTAAGAGAAAGTGCCAAGGGCAGTGCCCTGCTTTTAACCCCTGTGTATTCTCGGAGGTGTGTCCAAACCCCACTGGCTACACTAGGTGCCAGTCTCAAACCCAAAACTTTCATTAGTTTGACCACAGCTTCCCAGAATTCCCACTCCTTCCTGGTCAAACCACCACACCCCTTGTCCTATCACAACAGGCCCTGCTAAAATGTCTGCCTCCTATTATTTTCAAATTCTTCTTTTCAGGTACTTGACTCCAAAGTATAACCTCAGACTCTGTGCTGCAGGAAAGGAGAGCCATGCAGCTCACAACAAAGACCAAGCACCCAATCACCTGAGCAGGCAATGTTGGGAATATACCCCTCTCCAGAGTTTACACACTTGACCCCAGCTTCAGACAGATCTCCTAGCACTGAGAGCCCAGAATCCAGCCCAGAGAGCCCCAGCAGGTCTGTTTCTGATGCTATACTTAGAGTGCAGAAATAGTGCAGCACATTATTGGCATCAACACCAGCAATCTTTCTCCCACCTAAAAGGACAGTTCAAGACTCTGCTCAGGCTGATGGCAAGCAAATTCTACTCCTCACACTCTAAATAAGGATTATCTTTTGAATTGTGCAGTTTCACAAGCAAGTTTTGTAGCATTAGAAAACTAGGTTGTGAGGAGCACAACTTTATGGACAGCTCTGTGAGTCCCCAGATTAAAATCCAGACGCACCAAAATTCACACAGGCAACATCACACACAACACCTGGTACCTAGTTTCAGAGCCTCCTGGAAGTCAGATTCACTAAAACGAAATTTACTCTAAGTTCCCACCCATTTTGGAGCTGACCCAGGAAAGGTTATGCATGGGAGAAAAGCGCTGTGGCCAAAATAACCAATACAACCTGTACTTGCCATGTGTTCTTGACACCCTCCAGGAACAAAACTGCTGCTGCCAGCAAAACAATTCGCTCTGCCACAGCCTCCTCATAAAGGGTCCTCTATAAAGGCAAGGGCAGGTGGCAGAATCAGGGTACAGGCTCCAGGCACATGCCTCAACCAGGTAGTCTTTAAAATGCTTCAGAAGAGGGACAAGATGCTCTCAGGCCTTTTCCATCAATTCCCTGTTTGAAGTACAGCTTCTGCTCTGGTCCCTCCTGATCCTGCAGTGTTGATGCACCTCCTGAACTAATTTTAGATTTATGTCAGCTGTAGTGCACTTTTACAGACTAAAAAACAGACATTTAGAAACAGATCAGTTTGTCTTTATTCACTCAGAACTCCTCATATCTTGCATTTTCTGCAGTATAAAAGAAATAAAAATGTTTACTTACAAATCAAGTTATAACAGGCAAAACCACAAGTGGATAGCTACAATATAAAAATATGCAGTACTTCCAGACACTGCCTATAATTGAACAAATGTTAGGATATTAAATATTCTCCCCCTAAAATTCCAAGTAACAAATAGCTACCTCCATAAGGTTTAGGTCACTCAACCAAGCATTATCCCAAAAGTTAGACCAGTCCTCTGTAGAAATATGTGAGCCTGCTGATACACAGATGACAGCCCACCAGTTCTGGAACAAGTGCTGAAAAACACCTTCTTGTCTACATCCCTTGTAAAGGTGATGACACTACACAAGGAAGTAACTTTCCTGCACAAAAGAGACTGAACTCAACAGCAGAAGACTACAACATAATGCTTCCCCAGTTGAGTACTGATATCTAAGAGGAAGAAAAACATGTTCTACTGTATTTAGGCTTTTCATTTGGAATAAAGGCATTTTAATGTGTTTAAAAATTGAAAGAATATAACCAATATTCAGGGCACTCATAACTAATTTTATGGGGTAGTTTCAGAACTCACAAGATCAAGAAGGTCTCAGACAATTCATGACAATATGTTCTCTTCTGTCACCTCTAAACAACATAGGTACACGCTTATTTGGGGGCAGGAGGAAAACAAGAACATGCTTCTTACATTCCCCATCCTCTCATCATTTACGAAAGCCACAAAAATAAAAGTTGACTTCTTTCACGCTAACAAATACACACTCAAACTTCCCCCCCAAAACAGGAAGCTTCTCATACACTGATAGTTTTCTCCAATGACTTGCACCCCGAAGTTTTCAGAGACAATCCAAAGAAAGCATTAGCCATCCTGCTGCTGAATGAAAGGGTTTGGAATCGCTTCCATTCCATCCTGTGGACAAATCAGAACCACAGAAGTCCCTCTGCAAACCACAAGTCCCAGCTGACGTGTGTCTTCTGTTAATTTAAATTGATCATCCGGATCTAAAAAGCAGAGATCCATGGTTAGAACAGGAAAATAAGAAAAGGAAACCAAATTTCATCAACTTCAAAAGGCACAGACATGCATGTTCTTTCCTGGCATAGCTGCTTTGTTTTACTGAACATGGACCATACAGGTGATGCAGCAGTGACATTTGATGTTTTCAAGACCTTACTTGCAGTAAGCAATAACAAAACTTGCTTTGTATACAACAAAAAGCAGAACACGGCTATTAAAGAATTCATAGGCCTCTAACTAAATGATTAAAAAAAGCTCTTGATCCTATTTCAAATGTCATTATAGACAAACACTTGGGGATTAATGCAGATCAGAAAAAGACCCTGACTTCTCAATGCACTAGGGAAGAGAGCACCAGTCCATTCTCAGACCAGGCCAAATAGGGCTGGATTAGGACAAACACAAACCAACCACTGCTATCTTCCATACAGAGATATCTCTACATTCAACAGAAATGAACAACACATTTCAAAACTCTCTTTTAAAGATGAAATTCAAAGCTTCTGTGCTTCCTTTTAAACAGGTTGGAGAATACTCTTCAAAAGCACTGTCCTATCAAATGATAGCTTTTGTATCACAGAGAAAGAGATACTGCTTTATTCAAGCTTTAGAGGAAAAGGGCAGCCAGTGAGATAACTATACAGGAGCTCAAGCAAGTACTACCAGGGACGTTCCTCACAGGGAATGTGCTTAATCTAACTTCTGCTGCAGAATCACCTTTAAAGGTCATCTAGTACAGCCCCCCTGCAACAAGTAGGGGCATCTTTAACTAGACCCAGT